TATATATATATATATATATATATATATATATATCTATATATATATATATCTATATATATATATATATCTATATATATATATATATATATGTATCTATATATATATATATATATATATATATATATATATATATATATATATATATATATATATATACATATATATATATATATATATATATATATATATATATATATATATATATCTATATATATATATATATATATATATATATATATATATATATATATATATATATATATATATATATATATATATATATATATATATATATGTATATATATATATATATATATATATATATATATATATATATATATATATATATATATATATATATATATATATATATATATATATATATATATATATATATATATATATATATATATATATATATATATATATATATATATATATATATATATATATATATATATATATATATATATATATATATATTCATACATTTTAATACAAGAAATGCTGCTGTGAAGAAAATATAAAACTGTGTATGAAAAGCACCGTCAGTGCACCGAGATATCGAATTGAACCGAATCGATGGCATGATAATCGTAACCGAACCGTGAGACTATTGTAGGTTCACAGCTCTATATATATATATATATATATATATATATATATATGTATGTATATATATATATATATGTATGTATATATATATTATTTTTTATTTTTTCATTTTCTACAGAACAAACCACTCTTAAGCCTTTAAATGTCACTTTAAGCTGAATACTAGTATCTTGAAAAATATCTAGTCTAATATTATTTACTGTCATCATGGCAAAGATAAAATAAATCAGTTATTAGAAATGAGTTATTAAAACTATTGTTTAGAAATGTGTTGAAAAAAATCTTCCCTCCGTTAAACAGAAATTGGGGAGAAATATACAGGGGGGGCTCATAATTCAGGAGGGCTAATAATACTGGCTTCAGCTGTATGTCTAAGTGTAAATATATCTGTTTTTGTTCGTAATTTGTGTGTTTTAAGGGCTCGGGGTCACAGTGCTGTGTCTGTTTCAGGCTCTTTGGCTCAGTTTTGTGAGCACCTGTTCTGGTTTCTCAGTACATCATGTTCTTCTGAGTCTCAGTGCACATGACAGGCAGAGCGGGAGAAACTCTGCCGGCAGGAGGAGGGATCAGAGCGAGTCACGGACAAAATAACAAATCACAACGCTGATCGCTCGTCTCGCTCTGCGATTCCTCTGTGATTTCTGTTTTCATGCTTTTGCTTTTAAATGCGCCGTAAGCGGTTTAGTATTCTAGAACGGCATGCATAAAATGCTCCTGCTACCTGAGAGATGTTATTGCAACGGGTTTGAGACAGTCACAGACTCTGCAAACACTATTTATTGAGTGGGGGTGGCAGCGTGTGCTGTTTTAGCCAATCAGGAGTGCTCTCCGGCTGTCAATCACTGCACACATTCAGTTTGCTGACAGTCTGATTAGTTGACAAGGCACTGAACGGTATTTGAAGGAGTCTGGTGCAAGTTAGCAGAATATATAACTGAATATATAACTCTATGGCTTGTTGTGTGTATCTAAATAGTCAAGTTTTTAACGGCAATACATGCACAGTGGTTTTAATATGCTTTTGAAGTGTGCATAATGCCAAATTTGTCATTTATTTTGCTAGCTCACATTGCTACTTTTAAGGTAAATAAATCAAATCAAATAAATAAATCAAATCAAAGTCTGTTGACGTCAACGTTAGGGTTTCCATAGCAACTGTATAATAATAATATTATTAACCACGCCCATCTTACCGTTAGTTTGCTTTGAGAGAATGATGCACAAAAGAAAGACCTGCCCCCCACTTAATATTCGAATTCAGTTGGAAGTACATCAACATACTGAAATAACAGTCTCAGCAACTTCTGGTTCATGCTGACTTGCCATCAGAACTGCCTTAATCCTACGTGGCATAGATTCAACAGGGTACTGGAAATATTCCTTAGAGATTTTGCTCCATATTGACATGATAGCATCACGCAGTTGCTGCAGATTTGTCATGATGTGAATCTCCCGTTCCACCACATCCTAAAGGTGCTCTATTGGATTGAGCTCTGGTGGCTGTGGAGGCCATTTGAGTACAGTGAACTGTTTGTCATGTTCAAGAAACCAGTCTGAGATGATTCACGCTTTAAGACATGGTCTATATCCTGCTGGAAGTAGCCATCAGAAGATGGAGACACTGTGGTCATAAAGGGATGGACATGGTCAGCAGCAATACTCAGGTAGGCTGTGGCGTTGACTAGAAGCTCAATTGCTAATAATGGGCCCAAAGTGTGCCAAGACAATATCCCCCACACCATTACACCACCACCACCAGCCTGAACCGTTGATGCAAGACAGGATGGATCCAGGCTTTCATGTTGTTGATGCCAAATTCTGACCCGACCATCTGATAGTCGCAGCAGAAATGGAGACTCATCAGAGCAGGCAACGTTTCTCCAATCTTCTATTGTCCAGTTTTAGTGAGTCTGTGTGAATTGTAGCCTCAGTTTCCTGTTCTTAGCTGACAGGAGCGGCACCCGGTGTGGTCTTCTGCTGCTGTAGCCCATCCGCCTCAAGGTTGGACGTGTTGTGTGTTCAGAGATGCTCTTCTGCAGACCTCGGTTGTAACGAGTGCTTATTTGAGTTACTGTTGCCTTTCTATCAGCTGGAACCAGTCTGACCATTCTCCTCTGACCTCTGGCATCAACAAGGCATCTGCGCCCACAGAACTGCCGTATTTTCTCTATTTCGAATCATTCTCTGTAAACCCTAGAGATGGCTGTGCTTGAGGAGATCAGCAGTTTTCAGCCCTTCTGGCAGCAACAACCATGCCACGTTTAAAGTCACTTAGATCCCCTTTCTTCCCCATTTTGATGCTCAGTTATTTTAAACTGCAGCAGATTGTCTTGACCATTTCTACATGCTTAAATGCACTGAGCTGCTGCTTTGTGCTTGGCTGATTGTAAATTTGCGTTGACAAGCAGTTGGCTGATGTACCTAATAAAGTGGCCAGTGACTATATATATATATATATATTTTTTTTTTTCAGACTTTAAATATATAAAATAATATTATCATTAAAACCTAATTAAATATTTTACAACTTACAGCACAATTTATTATAATAAATCATGTATATTTGTCTAAAAAATGAAGCAATAATTATTACAGAATTATTGAAGTATATAAATGGAACAAATAAAATGTAGGAGCATTTTTTAATTCATCCATTGCTTTTGTATGTTTTTTTGTTGTGAAAAGGTGGAAGAATATAGAATATTTTGGAGAAATATTATTAAAATTTTAAAATAGTCACAATAAGACACACATTCACATCATTTTGACTATCGGTATAATCTCCTTACCTGTTCTAGTATATTCTGCAGTCGCTCTGCCTCGAGGTCAATGACGAACTTCTTCTCCTGCCGTCGATCCAGGTCCTCCAGCAGACGTCGATAGCTGGCGTCATTAAAGTTCTCCACACAGATGGCACTAACCTGCCAACCGTTCTGACCCGCCTTCTCCATGATGGCCTGCAGGACGGCATATCCTACAATTGTGTAACAGCAGTAAACACACTCTTGTTATATGGTCTGATTTTGCGATGTCTGTACTTTTAAATTAAATTTGTATCATCCTAATTCAAGTGATGAATGATTTTGAAATGCTAACAGTAAACAGAGCTACTGTAAGGTCACACCTGCTCGGTAAAACGCTTGAAAATGACTAAGCTGAAATTATCCATTAATTCAATTCAATTCAACTGTTTATTGTCATGTGCACAGTAAGGAAACACGTTTCCCTGTACAATGAGATTCTTACTTTGCCGTCCACAGTGAAGTCATACACACAACATACACATCATACAAGACATACACATAAATACACATATATACACAGAAGTGACTGAAGTATGATTATAAAATGTAAGTATATAAATATCTATGAAAGAAACCAATATATAAAACTGATTTGAGTAATGAAACAGATGTAAACAGTGTACAGTGGTTTTTAAATTAGAAAATTAGAAATTTATAAGTAGTCAGATGTTACTTTTATGAAGTAAATGAAAAGGTACACTGCTTATTACATTTTAAATAGGGTCATTTGTAATCTGTAATCTATGACATTTCCAAAGTAACCTCCCCAACACTGCTTATGGCTTTTTGGTTTCTTTTGTGGTGCATCCCAGCCACTAGCTCCCCATCTGAAGCACTTTTTTTAGCATAGGGGGGAATATAGTCATCCAACTATTTGTAATGTTGCAGTATGTATTTGAATAATGATTATTGGTTTCTTTACTTAAAAGCTCAGATTTGATGATCATCATTTATTTTGTTGACAGAGTTTGAGGTTTACTGTATCCTTATTATTCACACCTTACAGATGTTGATCTACCTTTACCATTGCGCAAGCATTGTAGCATTTTATTTATCAAGTTTAAGTGTCTCTTTAAAACTTACTTTAACACTTGAAGCTCTGCACAAGACTTTTGGCCAGCGGAGACATTAAAATGGTCGTGCTGAACTGAGTCTGGTTCTCTCAAGGTTTTTTTTCTTCACTCTCCTATCAGTTGAAGTTTTTTTTCCCTCTCCGCTGTCGCCACTGGCTTGCATGGTTCAGGATTGGTAGAGCTACGCATCGATGAATTTGCTCTTCAGTGTTTGAACTCTCAGTAATGATTAAATCACACTGAACTGAGCTGAACTGAACTGAACTGAACTTAAACACTAAAATCTGAACTACACTGTTCCAGTTACTGAACCACACTGTTTCTGTTACTATGACCATTTATGTGAAGCTGCTTTGACACAATCTACATTGTAAAAGCATTATACAAATAAAGCTGAATTGAAAAATTTAATTGAATTACAGTATGTTTATTTTATTATAGAGATTCAATATTTTGTTTAAACATTTTTGTTTATTAAAACTATATTTGCCCAAGTAATGTTGGTAAATTAAAATAGTTAAACAAATCCTAATATTCCTAAATGTACTGTTAAAAAATATTCAATAATTATCGATATCGAATGATATGAAACGTTTTTTTTTTTTTTTTTGCAATATCGCCCAGCCCTACTTTGTCTGTTGAAGTTACATTTTGCAGTTAATCCACAAATCACATGTTCTGACTGTGAAAGCAGAATGAATATACTGTATTATGCCACGGATTTCTATCAAACATTTTTTCCAAGGGAATATCTCATAAAAACTCCTACTAATAGTTTTTCAGTGAGTATAACTGAGAGATATATAGCGGATTATCTGTGCAAATAAATCGATTAAATGAAATTGTGCAACTACTAAAGAGTTAAATCATGCAAAATAATTCCCCTTGGCAGACTGGATGTGTATGTGGGTTTCTCTACAGGTGTGTATGTTTGTGCGTGTGCTGTGCCTTGGTCTCCTGTCCAAATGTCCCGTGTGTGTTCTGCATCGCTGTGCCAGTTATGTCAGCCAAGAGCAACAGATGTCCTTTAAATTGGCCCTTAGTCGCACCGCAGGACTTTGGACAGCAGGACAAATGCTCTGTATGTGTGTGTGTATGTGTGTGCGCACTGGTTTGGGTGGTTTACACGGACAGAAATTAGTATAACGACATGGGTATGATCTAGGAATTGCAGCATTGAGGTGCACTGTTAACCCTTACTGTAGATTATGCAGTAAATAACTGTAAAATAGCCAGTGTTTTGCTGTAATAAAAAGAAACAGTATTTTACTGTAAAAGGAGCAGGATTTGTATGAAATTTTGTAGTGCAAAGAATAAATTACAGTAATTTACTTTATGTATCCATTACAGATAGTTACTGTGATAATAAATGGTAAATTACTGCTCAACCATTATTACCCCATGTACTCTGATGCTTTATGTTGTGTATGGTCAGTATTGAGGAGAAAGTGAGACAATGCATTGATGATAAGCTAAATTTTTCTGCAGACATCTTTGTCTTTTCTTTGGTTCCTTTTATGTTTTTAACATTGAGTATCAGGAGTCAACCAATGTCAATGTCACAGAGCTAATTAAAAGGTAAAGATATCGACGAGATGCATTTAAAGGCAAAAATATTCACACAGAGCAACCAAATTATCACAATCATTTTTATAACTTTGTTTACTTTTCTATAATTAATCTAATTTACCTAGTTTAGCCTATAGTTAAGCTTTTAAATTGCACTTTAAGCTGAATATTAGTATTTTGCTAAATAACTAGTAAAAATGTGTTATTTAAAAAATATCTTAAACAGCACGTACATACATTTTTGCAGAGACTCAATTAATTTGTCTGGAAAACTTCAAATGAAGTAGGTAAAAGTGGCATTAACAGTATAGTATAAAGGCTTTCCTAAATAAATGTATTAATCAGGTTATTTTATTTATTTATTTATTTTTATTACTACAGGTTTGGAACAACATGAGGATCAGATTATTTATTATTATTATTATTTATTTATTTATTTATTTATTTTTTGCTTTGGATGAAGTTTTTATATTTTTATTGTTTTTATTCAATGATATGTGCATGATTGTGATAAATGTAGGCAGTTCCTTTGAAGGGCCGCAGTCCAGCAGAATTTAGTTCCAGCCCTGCTTTAACACACTACCTTTAGATTTAGTTTGATCAGGTGTGTTTAATTAGTATAACTGCACTGTTACTCTGTAGATTGTGTAGTAAATAACTGTAAAAAAAACAATGATTTAGGCATCATCACACACTCCCACAGGCTGTCCGTCTTATTCTAAACACAAAGGTGTTAGAAAGAGTTTTCAGAAAATGCTGGCCCTTTAAGGGAGCCAGGTGTTTGATTTGTTTACTGCTGAGTGTGCTCTATGCTATGTCCATCAATTCAGATGTAGAGTCTGTTATGTTTTAGGCTTTAAATAAGAATCTACAATGAGTAAGTAAAATGTGTTCAAATGTTTTTGAGGGTTTCTAAAATAAGGCTGTGTTTTAAGTTATATTGTTGTTATCTTGAACTGTGTACTTGAAAGCTACATTGTTAGCTAGTTAGCCTCTCCTCATATAACTTCTTACATTACTTTTGTTTAAGTACAGTATATGTATTTATTAAATATTGCATACTGCCATAATGTACAGAAGCTAACAGTTGTATGTATCTTTCTGGCAACTAAGCCAAAATTAAATTCCATTATCTCAGTAAGGTAACATTTGCACATCATCACAGGGAATCACAAAAACATGATACACATAGCCATCCACACACAAAAGCTCCCCTGTCCGGTCCCAGGCTGTGAGTTTGTTGCAAAAGTATTTTTCAGAGCAGTGTTTCCACCTATGAATTTATATTTAAAACAATAAAAAAGTTTGTTGTCATGAGATAATTATAATAGTAAAAGATTTTATCCTTTGGTTTTTCATTGTTGCCAACTTTATTTTTGTTTTCTACAATTAATTTAAACTTTTTATTGAGATTTGACACAGTTTTTAATTATTTAAAACTTTAAAATTTAAAATATTTATTTTGTGTTTTTTGCTGTTCAGTTTTTTTTTTTTTTTTTTTTGCATGGTCAGCATTGAGGAGAGAGTAACACATTTTCACTGCAGCACTTTGTGTGTGTGTGTGTGTGTGTGTGTGTGTGTGTGTGTGTGTGTGTGTGTGTGTGTGTGTGTGTGTGTGTTTATTGGATATGTGATTGTGATAAATGTTGGCAGTTGCTTTCAAAGTATGCTATATACCAGGGGTGCCTAATCCTATGAGGTGCCGTATAGGATTTAAATCAAACTTTGCTTATCAACACATACATAAAACACGTGTATATACACCTATTAATTACTCGCATATACACCTATACTGAATGTTCAAAACAACATGGATGAAACTTGTGTATATACATATAAACTTGATGCATGAATACACCCACATACACACGCGCATACATATAAACTCGATCCTAACATAAACACTCACATTAACACACGCACATAAATATAAACTTGCCGCATGCAAACACACCTATACACACTCGCATATACATATAAACTCGATTCTCGCATAAATACCCACATTTACATGCACATACATATAAACTCGCAGCATGCAAACACACCTATACATACTCGCATATACATATAAACTCGGTCTATGCATATACACCCTCAA